TGAAAAGAATGTAATTCTCTTTGTAAAGTGTTCTAATAAAGATGTCAAACTTGATTGATGATGTAGTCCAAGTCTTATATAGTCTTAATTTTCTGACTACTTGGTGTATCAATTATTGGAAGAAATATTTAAGTTTTTTAATATAATTAAGCATTTGTCTATTTCTCCTTACAATTCCATCAATTTTTGGTCTTATATTTTGAAACTGTTATCAGATGTATAAATATTTGGGATGATTATGTCCTCTTGATGAATTTATCCCTGTAACATTATGAAATGACATTCTTTTTTTTTTTTTGAGGTGGAGTTTTGCTCTTGTTACCCAGGCTGGAGTACAATGGCGTGATCGCGGATCACGGCAACCTCCGCCTCCTGGGTTCAGGCAATTCTCTTGCCTCAGCCTCCTGAGTAGCTGGTATTACAGGCACATGCCACCATGCCCAGCTAATTTTTTGTATTTTTAGTAGAGATGGGGTTTCACCTTGTTGACCAGGATGGTCTCGATCTCTTGACCTCGTGATCCACCCGCCTCAGCCTCCCAAAGTGCTGGGATTACAGGCGTTAGCCACTGCACCCGGCCATGAAATGACATTCTTTGTCACTAGTAATAATTTTTGCTGAAAAATCTGCTTTGATAATGATATAATCACTGTTTTCCACTAATTCTAGTACATTACTTTCCATCCTCTTAATCTATTTGTGTCTCTGTATTAAAAGTGAATTATTTGTAGGCAGCATTAGTTAAGTTTCATTTTTTTCATCTAGTCTCCCCGATCTCTATCTCTTAATTGAGAGGTGTTTAGACAATTTACATTTAATATGATTCTTGGTAGAGTCAGATTTAGGTCTGTCACCTTGCTATTTTTTTTAACCTATTCTATCTTTTCTTTGTTCTCTTTTTCTATTGGATAATTTTATGACTAGTTTCCTCTACTTTGTTGACTTGTTATTTAATGTATAACTCTTTTTTTTATTTTAATGTTTGCTGTTAGGTTTATACTATTTAACTTAACCTCAGTCTATCTTCAGGTCTTCACAATCCCATTCATCTTCCCAGTGTTTACGCTACCATTGTCATACATTTTATTAATAGATATGCTATATGCCCTATAATACATTATTATTTTTTGTTTAAAAAGTCAACTATCTTTTAAAGAGATTTGAATACAGTCATGTGTCTCACCTAGTAACAGGGATGTGTTCAGAGATATGTGTTGTTAAGCAATTTTATCATTGTGTAAACATCATGGAGTGCATTTATACAAACCTACAAGTTATTACCCTATTACACACCTAAGCTACATGGCATAGCTTGTTGCTCCTAGGTTACAAACCTATACAGTGTGCTACTATACTGAATACAAAGGTGCATATTCATGTATCTAAACATATCTAAACATAGAAAAGGTACAGCAAAAATACAGCATAAAGGAGAAAAAATGGCACACCTATATAGGGCACTTACTATGAGTGGGGCTTGCAAGACTGGAAGTTGCTCTGGGTGAGTTAGTGAGTGAGTGGTGAGTGAATGTGAAGGCCTAAGACATTACTGTACACTACTGTAGACTTTATAAACACTGTACACAGGCTATCCTCAATTTATTAAAACAATTTTTCTTTCTTTAATAATACATTAACCTTAGCTTATTATGACTTTTTTACTTTGTAAACTTAAAAAAAATTTTTTTTTTGAGACAGAGTCTTACTCTGTTGCCCAGGCTGGAGTGCAGTGGCACAGTCTTGGCTCACTGCAACTTCCTCCTCCCAGGTTCAAGCCATTCTCCTGCCTCAGCCTCCCAAGTAGCTGGGATTACAGATGTGCACCACCACACCTGGCAAATTTTTTGTATTTAGTAGAGACAGGGTTTCACTGTGTTGGTCAGGCTGGTCTCGAACTACTGATCTCAGGTGATCCCCCTGCCTCAGCCTTCCAAAGTGCTGGGATAACAGGCATGAGCTACCATGTCTGGCCTAAATTTTTTTTTTTTTTAGCATTTTGACTCTTGTCATAACACTGAACTTAAAACACAAATACATTGTACAGCTGTACACAGTTTTTTCTTTCTATCCTTACTCCATAAGCTTTTTCCTATTTTTAAAATTTTTATTTTCTTCTTTTACTTTTTAAACATTTTTGTTAAAACTAAGACACAAACACACACATTAATGTAGTTCTACACAGTCAGCATCACTGTCTTCCACCTCCACATCTTGTCCCACTGGAGGGTCTTCAGGGGCAATAACACGCATGGAGCTTTCATCACCTATGATGATAATGGAATACCTTCTTTTGGAATACCTCTTGAAGGACCTGCCTAAGGCTTTTTTAGAGTTAACTTTTAGAAATATAGAAGTAGAAGAAGTATGCTCTAAAATAATGAGAAAATGTAGCATATTAAATATGTAAACAGTAACACAGTCATTTATTAAATATTATTACATAGTATGTACTTACACAGTTATATATGCTTTACTTTTGTATGGCTACCAGCACAATACGTTTGTTTACACCCACATCACCACAAACACATGATTACGACAGCTACTGTATCACTATGCAGTAGGAATTCTTCAGCTCCATTATAATAATTTTATGGGACTACCTTTATAAATGCATTCCGTCATTGATTGAAATGCCACAGAGCTGAACATGATTGTAATATGAACTCAGTCTTACATATTTGCCCATGTTGTTACCATTTCCAACGTCTTCTTTTTTTATAGCCCTAGAGTTCTATTTGCTATCATTTTCCTTCCTCCTGAAAGACTTCCTTTTACATTTCTTTGAGAACATTGTAGTGCAAGTCTTCAGGTAATTAATTATTAAAAATTTTGTTTTTGAAAGATATTTTTGCTGGTACAGAATTTAAGGTTGACAACATTTTTCTTTCCATACTTTAAAGATAAGCAATATCTCTAACTCTCCTTGTGTGCTTTTTATTCCTTTAAGAAATCTGTTATCCTTATCTTTGTTTTTTTTATGCAATGTGTCTTTTTTCTCTAACTACTTTTGAGATTTTCATTTTATCATAGTTTTAAGCAAATTGGTTATGAGGTTTTGACTTTATTTGATGTAGTTTTCTTCTTGTTTCTTGTGTTTAATGTTCATTGAACTTCTTGGTCTCTGGCTTTATGTTTTTTCTTAAATTGGGAAAAATATTAGCCATTATTTCTTCAAATAGTTTTCTGTCCCTCCTCCAATCTGCTTTCCTTTAGGGACTCAAATGACATATATATTAGGCAACTTGAAGTTGTTTTACAACTCACTGATTTTTTTTCATTTTTCGTAATTCTTATTGCTAAGCCTACAAATTCATTTTTTCATCTGCAACATCAAATCTGCTGTTAATCCAACACATTTCCATGTTCACAAATAATTTTTCTATCTAGAAGTTCCATTTGGGTCTTTTTCATTTCTTCCATGTCTTTATTTAACTACTTTTTAAACATATGGAATACAATTGTTATAACAGTTTTAATGTTTTTCTCTGCTAATTGAACATGTATGTCAATTCTGGGTCAGTTTTGATCTTCTGATTATTCTCATTATGGGCTGTTTTCCAGCTTCTTTGGCTGCTTGGTAATCTTTGGATGCTAGACATCGTGAATTTGACCTTGCTGGGTGTTGGTTGCTTTAGTATTCCTGGTAATCTTTGGATGCCAGACGTCGTGGATTTGACCTTGCTGGGTGTTGGTTGCTTTAGTATTCCTGGTAATCTTTGGATGCCAGACGTCGTGGATTTGACCTTGCTGGGTGTTGGTTGCTTTAGTATTCCTGGTAATCTTTGGATGCTAGATGTCGTGGATTTGACCTTGCTGGGTGTTGGTTGCTTTAGTATTCCTGGTCATCTTTGGATGCTAGATGTCGTGAATTTTACCTTGCTGGGTGTTGGTTGCTTTAGTATTCCTGTGAACATCCTGGAGTATTGCCCTTTGGTGCAATTAAGTCACTTGGAAACAGTTTGATCCTTTTAGGTCTTACTTTCTATGATTTGTTTTGTGATCTGAGCAGTGTTCAGTCTAGAGCTAATTATCACCACTACTGAGATAAAAGGCTTCTGAGTACTCTGTCCAATGCTTCATGAATTAGGAGTTTTTTCAGTCTGAATGGTGGGAACAGGCACTGCCAGCCTTATGTGAGCAGAAAACACTGTTCCCTGTAACCCTTATTGAAGGAATCTTTCTCCAGATTTAAATAATCTTCTTAACACATGCTAATCAGTATTCTCTCCCCATACTTGAGGGGGTCCCTTTGCTAATCTCTTGGTTCTTCTGTCTGTGGAGCCTTCTTCTCTTTAGTAATTTGTCCTGGCAGTTCTGGCCACCTTGGTCTCCCCCAACTCTCAGCTCTACTTCCTCAACTCACGTAACCCACTGGGGTGACTTCTGGGTCCCCTCTCCCTGCGCTGTTTCCTGGAAACTCAAAGCAATACACTGGGGTGATTGTAGGTCTCACTTTATTTTTTCCATCTTTCAGGACTTGCTCTCTCCTTGCCTGTCTTGTTTCTTGAAACCATTGTTTTAGCCTTTGTTCTGTGGGCTGTTTATTTATTTGTTTTGGGTTATTTCAGGCAAGAGGATAAATGTAGTTACTATTACTTCATCTTGGCCAGAAGTAAAAGTTGTAACAGCAGTTATTTATCTTCTACCTCAGGGTCAGTTGGGGTTCAGCTGATTTAATCTGGGTTCATTGAGAGTTGTTTGGGCTGAGCTAATTTCTACTGGATTTTATATATATGTACATACAGGTATATATGTATGTGCTAAACTAATTTCTACTGGACTGTATATACATATGTATGCGTATATAGTTGTATATATGTAAAGAAAAAAGGTTTAATTTAGTTGAAAATAAAAATCAGCAGGTCAGTAGTAGCCACCATAATCTTTTGGGATATAATGCTACTAATTTCAAAGAAATTATGGGTATAGTGTTGAATGTATATCTCTAAAAGTAACTATGGAAATTGTCATTTAACATCTTTGTTTTTATTTTAAAGTGAGAAGACTATGTATATAAAAATATGCAAGAATCACAGGAAATGCATGTATCCAACCACCTAGATGAAGTTGTTGCTGCTGTTAGCATCACTCAGAGAGAGAAGGTCCAAAGCAAGCTGCCCCGGGCAGCACTATTCCAGCCTCCTCGAGAGAAACTCCACCTCTGTGAAGAGAAAGCCAAGTCCTATTCCAGGAGTCATGAAGTAAGGAGACTTTTGTTTCTGTATTTCTACTCTGGAAATTGAGCTATAAGGTATAATCAAGAGAAGTAGGATGTTTCAGATTACATTCCTAATCTCAGGAGTTTGATGCAAGAGAGTATAAGACAGTGCCTTTGTGATAAGATGAATGAATGTAGTACTCTAGGCTCCAGGCACAGCAGCTGGCATGGCCAACAACAAATATTTATTGAGCTCCCACTGTGTGCCAAGTCTAGGCACTGGAATACAACACAAGCAAAGCAAGTGAGGCTTCTGCTCTCATAGAGCTTCCAATTCCTTATGATCGTAAATCTTCTTGTTCTCTGCATACTTCTTTCCTCAAGAGTTTTACTCATTCACTCACTCATTCAATAGGCATTTCTCTATCACCTCTTATGTGTTGGATCCTGTTCATCCATTCACCATAAATACCCATGCTGTGCCTAATACGTGCCGGGTGCCATGTAGGTGCCAGGGGTACAGAAGGAAAAGCTACTTGTCTTAGAGGGGCTCAGGATTTGGTTGGGAAGATAGGGTGACAGATAATGGTAGTCAGTTTGATAAGTTCTGTGAGAGCTCAAGTGGCATAGATACAAAACAGAAAGAGGGGGCAATGAGCCTGGTGGTGGTAGAGGGACAGCAGTAAAGGCACGCTTTCTTGGGATGGGAGTTACTTGGACTGTACTGGTAAATAGTGTTTAGGAAGAGGACCAAATTGTTCTGGGCAGAGGTAGCAGATGAGCAAGAGCCATGGGTCTGAGGGAGTACAGTCTGGGGAACTATAAGGAGCTGTCTGGGACTAAGGTATAAATGACACAGGGCGAGAAATGATGCTGGATTATGGACAGGAACTGAGACCCAGAGGACACTCAAGGTCTAGTGAAAGAGTTTTTATTTTCTCCTAAAGATAATGGAGGATTACCATGAGATTACGAACAGAATCATGCCATGAGCAGGTTCGATTTTAAGAACAATCATTCCCGTAGCTGTGAAGAGTATGGACAAAAAAAGAATAAAATCGGAAGAGGAGGATCAGTTAGAAGGATATTTGCAATAATCCTGGTAAGGAATCATGAGGGCCTAAACTACATACGGCAGAGGCAGTAGAAATGCTGAGCTCTTTTGAAAGGAATTTAGAAATGCTCATCAGTGGGACAGAACTGGATGACTAAAGGGGACGTAGAGAATGGAGATGTGAGAGTGAGAAAGCTGGGGTGTGTAGAATTCCCACCACCCAAGGTCTGAGTCTGCTTGGGTGATTGGAGGCTTGCCCATGAATTTCATCAGTGTAATGAATACAGGATAAAGACCAGGATTAGGGAGAAAGGGCATAAATTTGGTTTTGAGGGTGTGCTTGTTCATTATGCACAGATACTCACTCAGTACCTACTATTCGTAGGCTCTAGGCTGGCAGCCTTTCTCAGCCAGACTTCTGCAAAGAATTCAGCCTTCATCAGCCTGAAAGGCATTTGACAAATGTAAATAATTCTTTTCTGTGCATCTAGAATGGTATTAAACATTTCGTTTTTCTGTGGTTCTGGCGAAGAATCCAGGATGCAACAGTGAACAGGACAGACAAAGTGCATACCCTCATGGAGCTGAGAGACAGTTGACATTGTAAATGAACCAGATGATCATAGACTGTGATAAGTGCTAAGGAGGACATAGGCTAGGTCCATCTTGGGTAGGGTGATCAGGAAGGGCCTCCAGGAAGATGTGACAGATAAGCTGAGACCTAGGGAGAGGAGTCAGTATGGAGGAGCTGAGGTAAAAGAGTTCTAGGGAGAGGAAACAGCACACATAAATCTAGAAGGTACGCACAAGCAGGACATATTTTAAGCAAGGAGAAGCAGCTGCAAGCTGACATTAAATATGGTGAGAGAGGCTGTCAGTTCACTTAGGGCCTTGCAGGTTTCAAGCTAAGTGCCTTGGAAGGCCTTAAAAGTTTTTTCAGCAAGGTGTTAACAAGATGTAATTTACTTTTTAAAATATCAGTTTTTTTGGTTATTTTGTGTTTTAAAATAATTTCTGACTTACAGAAAAGTCACAAGATTCACTCATTTTTAACATTTGCTTTATTGCTTTGTTCTTTGTCTCTCATTGTTTTTCTGAACTGAGAGTAAGTTGTAGATATTATGGCCCTTTACCCCCAAATACTTCAGTGCTTATTCTGTAAAAGCTATTCCCTTACATAGCCACAGTACAGTGATCGTAATTAGGAAATTGATGTCAGTATAATACTATTATCTAATCTGTAAACTTTGTCCATATTTCTTCTTAATAATGTCCTTTACAGAAAAAAATCAGATCTGTGGTTCAGTCTGTGAATTCATGTTAAGTAGAGTTAACTTAACATGTCTCTTTAGTCTCCTTCAATGTGAAACAGTTGCTTAACCTACTTTTTCACGATCTTAATATCTTGGAAATGTACACTCTATTTTGTAGAATATCTCTCCATTTGAGTTTGTCTTATGCTTCCTCATGATTTTATTCAGTTTGTACATTTGGAGCAGGAATACCACAGGTGTCACATGGGGCCCTTCTTATTGTGTGCTGTCAAGAGGTGCATAATGTCTATTAGTCTCATTACAGTGATGCCAACCTTGAATGCTTGGTTAATGCGACTGGCAGGTTTCTTTACTGTAGAATCGCTATTTTTCCCTTTGTAATTATTAAGTATTTTGGGGAGATTCACTGAGACTATGTATATATTTAAAACTTCACCCTGCCAGTTTTAGTACTCCCTGATGATTTTCGCCTGAATCCGTTATGACTGTGATATTTGTCACATAGCCAGTCTCTGGCTTCCAAGTCCTTTCAACGTCTGTGGGCATTCTATGATAAGGAGGAGCTTTTCTTTCTTCACAGCTTATTTATCATCCGTTTATTCTTATCAGTATGGGTTCAGGAAATTTTATTCTTCAAATATGCTACAACCTATTATTTTCATGGAAGCTCAGATTGTTCCATATCTGCCAATGGGAGGCCCTTCAAGCCGGCTCCTGAGTCCTCAATCCATCCCCTCATTGTTTAATCACTTCCTTGATTTCCGGCAGCACAAGTTTGTCAGATTCATCTTGGACTTCCCCTGCAGCAGGGAACCTTGGTTCCGCTTAGTGAAGAATAGCATTTAGACACCAAGATCTGGGTATTAAATGTCCATTTTTAAATATATATGGGCTAGACCTACTGATAATCAGCATTGCATATTTTAATATTAAGAAGTTTAGAAAATTCCAGATAGTCCAAGAATGATGTTGTGAAAAGACCTCTCGATTTTGCATCAAGGAGCTTGACTGTGAATTCTGCTGCTACCACTTGCTGGTAAATCACCTCAACTTCCCAGCCTTATATTCCTTCATTTTTAAATTGAGGGGACTAGATTAGATTATTTCCAAGACTCATCCCAGTTTTGAAATTGTCTTCCTACTTCGTACTTGTCTTCTGTCGGTCCTGCCCCTTACTGATGCCTGTTGCTAAAACCACTGGAACTGATAGAATAAAGGTTGGAAAACCAATAGGGATATCTGGACCTTGCCTTATCAAAAATAAGGAAGTGAAGAGAGGACAAGCTGTTTTTTCTATACCTGTATCCCCACTCAGGTCCTGAAAACCAAGGCTATAATCAGGGAACCCCAGCTCAGCCTGTGCAGTCCCCTTTGCTGGAAATCTGTAGTTGGGACAGATTCATCATCAAAACAGATCTCCCTCTCTTTTTGTCTGTCTGGATTCCATGACATTGTTGTCATTTCCTTCTCTTTTATAGTTGTTGTTCTCTTTCTCTCTCCAAAGAAGTCATTACCTAAACCTCCTGTGTCTATAGGCAATAAAAGGTGGTTCCCAAAAAGTACAAACAGCCAGTTAACACATGACGATGTTCAGCCTCATCAATTTATGGGGAAAATGTGGACTAAATCCAGGAGAAATGGGCTAACTGACAAACTAAAAACAAAACAAAAACTCCACAGTTTTTACTCAGTTCAATGTAAGGGACATTTCTGCTCACGTATGCTGCACTGAAAGTATGAACTGGTACAACCTCTTGGAGTGGCACGTCAGCAGTAGCTACTCATAGCCTCAGAGTTTTGCATATCCTTTACCCAACAATCCTATTTGTAGGAATTTATTTTGTGGAGATATTTATGAGTATGTGCAAAGCTATCCATACAGGATATTCAGTGAGTAAAAAATTTATGAACACCTAAATGCCCAATAAAGGGTGGATTGAGTAATGCAGTTATGATACATTCATATAATAAAATACTGCGCAGCCACTCAAACTTATGGATGACATGAGAAGTTATTCATAAATTGTTTAAACAGCAGGCTGTAAACCTGCATGTCGCTTATGAACCTATTTTTGAAAAAGAAAAAATATGTGTAGATAGATTCATAAAAGTAAAGAATAAAGGGATATTTAGCTACCTAGATATCTCTAGGGAATAAACTTACAGGTGATTTTTAGTTTATATCTTTTTGCTCATCTATATTTTGACAATGAACATATATTATTTTTGTAATAGAAAGCATGTTACTATAGAAAAAAAATGCCACAGTCCACCTTCTTTCAGCACTTTATGATGAGCACATATTCCTCAGCTTCCTCCTGGTGGGTCACAAAAGTGACTTTCCTGTGGCCAACTGTTTGGCTGTGTATTTTTGTTAAGAAAAATGTTGTTTTAGGGTGAAGGTATTTCTAATGCATGTAGGAATTGTGTGGAAATGCAAGCCCTTTGAGCTTTGACATTGACGGGGGTGCATCCTGGGTACATCCTGGATCTTCTCCACAACTCTGTCCTTGTCCTCACCTTTCTTCCTCTGGTTTGACCCCTTCAGCTTTCTTTCCACAGCCATCTCTCTTGCTGTTCTTACTATCTGTTGCTGCATAATACCCCAACAACTTAGTGGTTTAAAACAAGAACAGCCATTCATTTTTCTCATGAGCCTGCAGTTTTTGCAGAGCTCAGTGGGGTTTGCTCAGCTTTGCTCCATACAGCATCAGCTGGTCTTGAAGAGTCTGGAGATTCTGCCACCAAAATGGTTCACTCAAACTATCAGTGCCTTTCTATGTGGGTCTTCTCTCGGTGGGGCCATGTTGGCTTCCTCACAGCATGGGGTTTCTGTATTAGTTTGTAGTGCTGTCATAACAAAATCCCACAGATGCTGAGGCTTAAAGAACAGTTTTTATTTCCTCACAGTTCTGGAGGCTAGAAGTCCAAGATCAAGGTGTAAGCAGGGCTTGATTTCATTCTAAAGCCTCTCTCTTTAGCTTGTAGCTGTCTTTTGCTGTATTCTCACATGATCATTTCTCCATGTGCATGCCCATCCCTGCTGTCTTTTCCTTTTCGTATATGAGGATACCAGCTGTATTCAACTAGGGTTTACCCTAACACCTCTTTTGAACTTAAATCACCTCTTTAAAGACCTCATCTCCAAAAACAGTTACATTATAAGGTACTAGGACTTCAATATATGAATTCAGGGAGGGTGAGGAGGGGACACAATTTAGCCCATAACAGGTTTCAAGAGTAAATACCCAGGAAGAGACAAAAACAACTGGCACTACATCATTTCCTCCAGATTCTATTGGCCAAATAGTCATAAAGCCCAGATTCAAAGGGAATGGGACATAGACCCCTCAATATCTGGATGGAAGGAGTATCAAAGAATTTTGGAGCTGTGTTTTAAAACTAACACAGCTTTGCTTTGAAGATATGGCTGGTCTGAGATGACCTGGAGCTGGGAATCCAGTTTTCTGTTCTCTTTGTCCTAGCCTGAATGAAAAATGTGCTTCTCACTACTTTAATCGAGTCTGTGAGTCCTGCTGATCTCATTTGGTATGCTAATATAGACAGCTAAGAAAAGTTTCGAATTGAGAGCTTAAGTATAGTATTTGACAGCCTGAGCAACATGGCGAAACCCCATCTCTGCCAAAATACAAAAATTTAGCCTGGTGTGGTGGTGCACATTTGTGATCCCAGATGCACAGGAAGCTGAGGTGGGAGGATTGCTCAAGCCCACCCCAGAGGTCGAGGTTGCAGTTAGCTGATATCGTGCCACTGTACTCCAGCCTGGGTAACAGAGTGAGACCTTGTCTCACACACACACAATAAAAGTACAGTATTTGAAAACACTACCGTTTGCACCTGTTATTCCTGCTTACGTAGTAGCTGTTCATTGGTGGGCAACTGGGAAACCTAAAGAATGACTAGATGTCTGCTCTACGTTTTCTATTTTTAAAATTCTATTACTTTTTTCACCTTTAAATGTACTACAAACTGCACTTACATTTATTGTCTATTTCATCTTACCAGATGTCCACTTTACCACCCCAAACAGATCTTTGTCTGTTTTGTTCTCTGATACATCTCAAGCGCTTAGATCAATGTTTTGCACATAGTAGGCACTCATTATTTATCAAAGGCATAAAACCATGTTTATTTTGTGCTTTGTGACTCTTTGTTTCAAGTTGTATAACTGGTAAGCCTGTTTTCTCTTCCTGACAGTACAAACAGGCTGTCCACGAGCTTGTGCGTTGCGTAGCACTGACAAGAATTTGCTATGGAGACTCACACTGGAAACTAGCAGAGGCACATGTTAATCTGGCTCAGGGCTACCTCCAGCTGAAAGGTAAGCTCACCTTAGACTGAGGGGGGTCAATTGGTCAGTTTCTGCTGTTCTCCCCAAAATTTGATCCACACATAATTAGAAGGATTGGGTTTTTAAATATTCTCCTTTCCAAATACTAAGAAGCCATTTTCCTTTCAGAAAGAGTTGATAAGATATATAACATATAAACATTCAAAGGGGAAAAAATATTATATTTTTTCTGTTTTTTAAAAAATGATTTCAAAAGTAGGGTTCTTAGGAGAAAATTAATCTGCTGGGCCAGAAGATTTTGTAGGAAAAAACCCAAGATATGAAATAGGGGCCCAGAATGGGATTCATTTATACTTTTATTGACTGTAAGTGTATTCATTAATACTTTTATGACTGTAAATAACCAAAAAGTTTAAAAAGACTAACCCAGATTGCCATAAACGAACATTTTTGGCTCATGCAACTTAAAAATTCAAGGGGAAAACTTGCTTTAGACTGAGCCATACCCAGGGTGGAGACGGTGTGACCAGGTTTCAGTCTGTCTCTCTTCCACTGCTTGGCTCTGTTTTTGTTGGTATTCGCCCCATTCTTAGCCAGGCTTTGCCCACATGGTGGCAACAAGACTGCCAGCAACTTTATGCTTCCATTATAAGCATTCCAAGGAGTAAAAGAGTTTCCTTCCACCAAAATCCACGATTTGGGTTGGGTTCTAATTGAAACAACCTGGATTGTATACCAAAGGCAAGGAATAGTCTAATGGCTAAACCTTCCTTTTGGCTTCATTGGATCTTGACGGAGAAGCAGACCTTCACCAAATCACATGGACTGGATGTGCAGGAGCCAGGCATCCAAAAGGGAAACGGGAGAATGGGTGAAGGGAAGGCAAAAACAGTGGACACCCAGGATATGATGATGGCTTCTGCTTACTGACTGTGCAGACTAAGATGGACAAGAGCATCTCTGTGCTCAGCTTCTTCAGTTGAAAAGTGATGATGATGGTGATGGTGATGCTAACTTTCCAGGCTTGGTCCAGTGAATAAAGAAAATAATAGAAGTGGAAAACACCACAATGCCAAGCATATTCATTATTGCCACCCAATGAATTTGGCCAAATCTCATTATAATCTGGTCCCACCTATTAGATTAAAGACTCTTAGGGACCTTGGAGATTATCTAATTTAAACTCTGCCCTCCCACCCCATTTTGTAGATTCAGGGAAAACAATGAGTCTGAGTTAGAACAACTTGCCCCACACCACACTGTTAATAAGTAGCTGATCTGAGACTCAGACCTAGGATTTCAATGCCAGTTTGTCCTGCCATCTGGGGTTTCAGATGATACTTTTCTTATACAGCCTGCTGCCTGTCTGTGTGACAGTTCTTCTTTCTCAATTTAAAGTAAAAGTAGTATCTACCATTTCTTAAAGTCTCATTGGGTGCCAGGCATCATGTTATTTTCCATGTATAACCTTTTTCAGTCCTCATCACAGTCCTCAGAGGTGGGTATTTTTAATATCCCTGTTTACAGCCGAGAAAGCTGAGGCCAACGTTTCATAATAAGTGGTGGAGCAGGGGATCCATTCTGGGGAGTCTGACTTCAGAGCCAATGTTCTTGAGCTTCACCCTATGCTGCCTCCAGTAAATTGAGTTCAGGTTCTTTCAGGGGCTCTACACAGTTGAAAATACAGTTCACCATGCTTCGTGTAACATCACAATCACAGGTGGCACTAATACATGTCTGTACTTTTTAAAGATGTATAGTAAGACAACATTGTGTAAGAATTCCCACATGAAAAGCATACCCTTGATTTTCTCCATTAGAAAATATCTTCTTCCTGTTTATAGACATAGGAACAGAATTAACTTCATATTTTGACAGGTTTTTTTAGAGATCTGAGATACAATTTTGTGTAATTAAGAACATAAGACCGGGGCTATGTGGATGTGAGTGGAAGGGGTGTTAGTGTGGGGGAGTAGGGTGGGAATACAGGGAAGGGCAAAGCCGGGAAGACTTGCTGGTGATCTCAGGCCTCCCTTCCCACAGATTAGCAAGCCCATGGAGGAGCACGGGAACACACTGGGGAATTCGTTCTTAGTAATTTTTTCTGGCTCCATTTTGTCTCATATTCATCTGTTACTACACAGGAATATGAGATTGTCACACATTAGTCTGTTGCCTCACTGGAATTGTGTTTATAAGTTTTTATAATCAGATATGTATGATGTTAAAATAACTGATGTTATGATTATAGGTGGGTAAGTTGAAGATTCAGAATTTTTAGTATTTCATTAAGATTGCAGTTATACATCCAGAATTAAAATTCATGAATATTTTATTTCCTGCCCAGAATGCTATCGTTCTTGTATTCAATTTGTTATTATAATTATATGTAATATATTTGCTTCTGATATTGGTGATGTTTCAAAGCTGTTCCATTCCAGCTCATTCTGTTTATTTAAAAAAAAAAAAAAGCCATTTCAGAGAGAATTTATCTTCAGTACTTCATATAAAACACTTCTTGGGTTGGTATAGTCATAACAGTGTTTCATACTGCCCAGATACATCTCCATGTGCCATTTGAGAATATGTGAAGGAGACCTTTTTAGATTCCCAGACCACAGGGGAATTGTATTCCTGTCCAGTTGAGATTAAAGAGAAACTGAGACTTCTTTTTCTTTGTCCACAGGACTGTCACTGCAAGCGAAACAACATGCAGAAAAAGCCAAACAAATCCTCGCCAGCTCCATTGTGCCTCCCTATAACGACAGCACGGATGTGTTCAAGTTTTCTGTTGAGCTTTTCCATACCATGGGGAGAGCCTTACTCTCCCTTCAAAAGTATCCTTTTGCCTCCAACCTTTACAAATAGAAATACTATTCTTGTAATACTTACATGCCAAGTAAAAAGCTGATGCTGATGGATGCCTCAGGAAGTGTGATTGGAAGTATGGGAGCCAAGGGAGTTCAGGATATGGGTTATAGAATCTAGAACCAAGTGGAAAATTTCCTGAACACAATTTAGTTTTAAGAAAGCTTCAGAGAATTTGATGAAAGCAAAGAGACTTTCAAAGGAGCTGCTACAATGTGGAAGGATTATAAAGGAAGAATGGATAGAAATTGAAGCACGGATCAGATTATCATTTGCACAGTAAGTTTCAAGTTTAGGTGAAATGGCTGGAGGCTCTTTGACAGTAGAATCTGTCTCAGGTAGGAGGAGCTTCTCCATAAGGCTATGGCCATTGTCTAAAAGTAAAAGAGGAACACAATCATGTCAGAGCAGCCCCAACCAAGGCACTGATCAGTGGCACTTTTCATTTGGCTGTGGAGTGCCCTCATATTCACCCTGGGTTCCAGAGTTCTGATCATTATTCTCTTTACTTTCTCTTTACATGCTCTCCCTCTTCACCCCAGCATCTACACTCTTCTCTTCCTCCCTCCCTTCCTTTTTTCCCTGCCCTGCTGCAGTCTAAAATGCTTCAACAGATTGATTTTATGATGAAAGCCTCAATGGAGAAATATCTTAAATATATCTGAATCCATGATAATGAAAGTACTAATTTTGTTCCTTACCTTACTCCATATTCACCAAATAAACTCAGCTGAAGAGATATGAAAAGAAGGTCACACGTAGTTAGTACTTTTATCCTTCTCCAAAGATCAACCGAAGCCAATTCCTCAGAGTACTGGGGTGACAGAGTTTGCCCACGCTCTTTGGAAAGATGGACCTATGCAGAGGAGAAGGTGGAGAAAGGTCTGTGCTAGAAGAGGCAGAGAACCCCAGTTGACCTGCATGGCTGCCCTTACCCAAAGTCAGAAGAATTCAGTTTACCTTCCTAACTAGATTGCATGTGTAGGTTGATTCCCAGGATAACTCAGAATCCACAGAATCATTTTAAGAAAGGTGCTAGGGAAGGGCCCCAAGAGAACACACATAATGCTTCCATGTGAATGTAAAGTGGGAAGAACCAGCTTTGACTCATGCTGTTAAAGACGACATTTCTTCTGTGATCACAGTTCTTCCTTGTTAATTTGTTTTGCTCTGGTGTTTTTGAACTGCAAGTGCAGATCTCATTCGTCTATGCAAGTCCTTTGGTATGGTTTTTTAAATTAATTTTTTTCCTTCATTTCTGATCTTTTCTCTAATTCTCCTACACACACATCATGTATATACGTACTTTGGTGATAGCTTATGCTTTTGAGTATGTATCACTGAATAATAAATAGTATTGTTTTATGTATTTATGTCTAAAATTTGTATAAATTTGTAGCATACATATCATTCTGCATCTTACTTTTTTCCACTCCACATGTTTTGGTTGTGGTTCCTGTATAATGCTCCATAGAATACATTTGTTGCATTTTGTTTGTCCATCTTCCTAACAATAGACATTCAGCTTGTCCCCAGCTCTCTGCTGCCACAGGAGTGCTGCCATGACCATCCTTACGCAGCTTCACTTAGGTGGCTAAAAGACACTTTTTCTGAGTTTTACATCCCAGGGATGGTACTGAGTACAAACAGACTTTAAGTTCACCAAGCACCCACTGACCACTACACCTATCTGCATTCACATTCCCACTTGCAGGCTGGGTTCCTGTTTTTCACACCCCCAGCAATATTTGACATTGTTGATCTTTGTAACTGTCATTGTTGATCTTTGCCAACCTGGAGCATGTAACATGCTATCTAATTATTTAAGTTATATTTACATTTATCCTGTTGGTGAGTTTGAATACTTTTCGTATTTCCCTTCTATAAATAGCCTGTTAGTATTCCTTCTCATTTTTCTTTTAAAGTTTCCTGTACCTTTCCTATTGATAATCAGGATTTTCTTGTATATTATAAATATTAATGATATTATAAATATTTTCTTACATCTATTGCCCACTTACTAATTTTGTCTGTGGTGTTCTTCGTGGCTTAGAAATTGTTAATTTTGCTTCACCCAAATCCTTTCATTTTCACCTTATGATTTATGCTTTGGGAATCTGTGTAGAAAGTCTTTTCCAGCTAAATATCAAAAATATTCTCTAAAATTTCCCTCCAAGACCTACTTTAACTCTACATATGCTTTATCATGAGGTATTATCACTATCATAACTTCTTAGTATTTCATAATTTAGTTTATAAATTACTCTTTAGTCCAAGGATTATTCAAATGATGTGTGTTTTGGTTTGCAAGTATGCAAGTTTTCAAGATATCTTGATGTTCCTGATTTTTAATTGTATGGCATTGTTATATAGATCCTGAAGCTATTGTGTTGTGGTGGGAGGAGGAGAGTTTAACAGCAGCATATCTTCTTAACCTATCACTTTATTCGTTAGTTGACCTTGTTCTTTTTTGTCCCCTACATTTATTCTGTCTAATACTATATCATAGCTCTCTTTTGGTATATATTTTCCTATAGTATCTTTAAAAAAATACTAATTTGGGTTTAAATTTCCTTCTGTCCTACCAATTTTATGGCCTTTTCTTTTTCCTTACTTGCTTTCTTTTAGATTAATCAAATATTTTTATCATTTCATTTTATACCAATTAATTTGCAAGTTGTGTATTCTTTTCTCTTGTTTTTTCTTTTCTTTTCTTTCTTTTGTATATAGACTCTCACTCTGTTGCCCAGACTGAAGTGCAGTGGTGGGGTCATGGCTCACAAAAACTTCAACCTCCCTGGGCTCAAGCAATCCTCTCATCTCAGCCTCCTGAGTAGCTTAGACTACAGGTATGCACCACCACACCCAGCTAACTTTTTTGTATTTTTTGTAGAGATGAAGTTTCACTATGTTGCCCAGCCTGGTTTTGAACTTCTGGGCTCAAGCGGTTCACCCACCTTGGCCTCCCAAAATGCTGGGATTACAGACATGAGCCACCATGCCTGGCCTCATTTTCTTTTTATTATTTATTTTCTATTATTCTAGAAGTTACTATGGAGTTTGTCACTTATATCCCTGACTTACTGGAATCTAATTGTAAATTAATCATTTAACCACTTCCTGAACAATGCAAGGACTTTTGAACATGCTAGCATTCTTATTCCTCTCTGCTTGGTTCTGTGTTGTCCTGTATTTTAAATCAGCATGTATCTTATACTACAGACAATATTTGTTATACATAAAACTGACAAAGGGCTTGTATCTGAAATCTATAAAGAACCCCTGTATATCAGTAAAACAAACATATGTAATTAGATAGAAAAATGGGCAGGAAACTTTTCCCAAAAAAAGAACACCCACATAGTAAATAATGGATCAAAAGGTGTTCCACCTTATCAGTCATCAGAAAATGAAAACTAGAATTATAAGATATGGCTGGGTGTGGTGGCTCATACCTGTAATCCCAGCACTTTGAGAGGCTGAGGTGGAAGGGGAGCTTGAGCCCAGGAGTTCAAGACCAGCCTGGGCAAGATGGGGAGACCACCATTTTTACAAAAATATATTTAAAATTATCAAGTGCTGGCTAGGCACGGTGGCTCACACCTGGCACTTTGGGAGGCCGAGGCAGGTGGATCATGAGGTCAGGAGTTCGAGACCATCTTGGCCAATATGGTGTAACCCCATCTCTACTAAAATACAAAAAATTAGCCGGGCATGGTGGCATGCACCTGTAGTCCCAGCTACTCAGGAGGCTGAGGCAGGGGAATCACTTGAACTCAGAAGGCAGAAGTTGCAGTGAGCCGAGGTCACATCACTGCACTCCAGCCTGGGCAATGGAATAAGACTCCATCTCAAAAAAATAAAATAAAATAAAAATAATCCAAGTGTGGCGGTGCTCATCTACAGTCCTAGCTACTCAGGAGACTGAGGTGGGAGGATCACTTGAGCCCAAGAATTTGAGTTTGCAGTGAGCTATGATGACACCAATGCACTCCAGCCTGGATGACAGAGCAAGACTCTGTCTCTTTAAATAAATAAATAAAATCATAAGATACTATTACATTCCCACTAGAATGGCTAAAAAAATTTTTAAGACTAAGAATACCAAATATTTGCAACGATATAGTATTCTGATATGCTCTTTCGTATACCATTGTTTCAAATATATTTGTTTAACTACTTTAGAAAACTATTTGGCATTATCTCCTAAATTTGAACATTTGCTTACCCTTTGACCCTGCAGTATCACTACTAGATTATATGCCCGACAGAAATGCATGCATATTTTCACCAAAAGACACAGCCAAGAATGTTCAAAGCTACGTTATTTGTAAGAGCCAGGAGTTGGAAACAGCCTAAATGTTCCCCAAAAGTAAAACAGAAAAAAAAATGTGATCTGTTAATATAAATAAAATGATTACAACTACTTCTATGCTTAACAGCATTAATGACTCTCACAATGTTTAGTGAAAAAATCCAGATGCAAAGGAATCATGTTATAGAATTCCATTTATATAACTGGAGGAAGAAGAAGGTTGTTAGTGGCTGGGAGGGCTTTACTAGTCCAGAATCCCTTTCTGCCAAAAATTAGGTATTCTGTCTTACAAAATAGGAAATACACAATTCAGAGATCCAAGACATAATGTTTGTTGCATCTGTTAAGACCTAACTAATGTATTAGTATTTAATATTGAGCAGTGTTGCTATAAAAAAGAGTAAATGATCCTCTGGCTCCTCCTTTGAGTGCTTTCCAAATTAGCAGTACCAAGCCTTGCCAGCAGATGGCGGGCCCTGTACACATGTAGGCTGAATAGACAACAAGAATTTAAGTTAATATTCCAGACTACTCTAAGAAGTTCCCTTTGTGTTTAGCTAAGTTGTTTCAAACTTTGCTACTTCTTTTCATCTTAATTATTCACCCTGATATAAGCACCACAATGTACATGTTTAAACTATAATTTTCATTCAATTGCTTTACTTTGTTTACATATTGAAATGTATTTTGTTCAAATTGACCTCCTTTAGAAATTAACAAGGCTTTGGTTTCAGGCACTTCTGTAGTTATCCTTGAATGATGAAGGCCTTTTCTTTTGCTTGGTCTTGGAAGTGGAAGACAAAGATAATTTCTGAGGCAATGCTCATAGGATTTATATCCCTCTTTTTTTTTTTTTTTTTCTTTGAGACAGGGCCTCACTCTTTTGCTCTGGCTGGAGTACAGTTTCACAGTGACAGCTCACAGCAGTCTTGACCTCCTGGGCTCAAGCAATCCTCCCTGTCAA